GGACACGCAGCGCTAAAACCAGCCCAGCAACAAACAGAAGTTCAGAGTTTTTTTCAGATGCTTTTACATGTCCTCACTACATCACTTACAGGAGGATCACCGAGTTGTGCTTTTTAATTTTTTTAAAGGCAGAAAACTGCACTGGGGCCATGATGCGGTGACGGCTGGAGACTAATCTGGTTTGGCATTTGGGGAAAAACAGGCGTATTCTGAAAGAACCAAGATATCAAAATTTAACTATCATCTGACTCAGATCCCTGACACGCTTTGCTGCTGCAGAGCTGCCGAAGGGACACGTCAGCGCCGGAGCAGTGCCATGGGCTGGGGACCTGTGGGGGTGGCACGGCTGGCACCCCCCGGCACGGGGAGCTGGGACCCCCCTGGCAGGCACTGGTGGGTCTCGCAGAAGCCGGCACTGAGCAGGGCAGACGCAGGGCTCAGGCTCCAGCCCTGGGCGAGTTGGTGCAAGCCCTGGGCTGCCCCGGCAGAGCCCTGGGGGTGTGCGGGGACCCGTAGGGACACTGCCCCAAAGGCAGGTCTGCCCGGTGACTTTAGGCTCTGGCAAATGACAAGTGACCACGGGGAGCTGAGCTGATGCTTCTTTAGTTGTGCATCCTGCAGAGGTCTTGAAAATTTAATCCTTTTCCCCAAATCATTTCCTGATTTTTTTAGCAGGTTTGTCTTCTAGGGCCTAGCATCCTTTTGTGTGACTTTTGTTGTGTGGATTGCAGAGTGTATTTGGGCACGCTCTGCGCAGCACTGTCCCACAGGTAGCTCTGGAGGAGGATTTCAAACGCGGGAGATGAAAGGGATGTTCTCGGCGTGCCATAAACACTGCAGCTCCCGCGCGCGGCCCCGCTCTCGGCGCCTCTGAAGAGCCCCATCAGCTACAGTTCTTCCCTGTCCCTTCTCCCCAGAGCTGGTAACACAGGAGAAGACACTGGAGCCTCCGCAGTGTCCATCTGTCCCTCCAGCCCTGTGCTGCAGGGGCTCCTGGGCAGTGGGTGGTCGCTGGAAGCTGGACCCCGACTGTGCCCTCCCCGTGCCGCCCTCTCCCACCCCGCTCCGTGTGCTGAGCTGCTGCTCCCCTCTCCTCCCGGGGAGCACTTCATTTCTCCTGCACACACAGCTCAGCAGAAGCCCTTCAGGAGGACACCAGCTCTCAGCTGCAAAGGCAGCCCTGAGGGCGATGGTGACGGGGGTCCCTCTGAGGTGGCCCCTGATGTCAAACCCCCATCCGTATCCACCCGCTCTGGGGCTGCCGAGGTTGGGGGTGACAGCCCTGGAGGGTGCTTCTCCCCAGGCAACCCCGGGTGCTGCCTCTCGACCCCTGCCTGAGGGACCCCCGGGGGCAGGATTTGCCCCCAGTACCACGGTCCCCCCTCCGGCAGCGTCCCCGGTGCCTGGGGACCCGGCTCAGGCTCTCCCCGAGTAAACAAGGGCCCCGCTAAACCCGCAGCAGGCGTGTGAGATAGACATCTTAGACACACCAGCCTCGGGAGGAGAGAAATCAAAGGTTTCCCTGCAAATCCGTCTGCCCTACATCTCCTCTCCATTTTGATCTCCAAACTCATGCAAGTTTAAAAAGCAAGTAAAGGCTGTCGGTGTGATTAACCTCCCCACCTGCGCCCCGCTTCCTGCTCTGCGGGAAGGAGCAGCTCCGCTCACCTGCCTGGTGGGAGCCTCTCCTCCACGTGTGAGGATGTGGGGAGCCAAACCAAGATGGTTCCACTGAAATTACAAAACACTGCACTTTTAAGTAGGAGCTGAATTATTTAGTGCCCTCGCACTACCCAAATGCTGTGCTCTTTGGGCAGATGATGGCTCGGTTCCCTCCCAGCCTTCCTCTTCTGACAGTGAGTAAATGGAGAGATATCGCACTCTTCAAACATTTATAAACAATCCCCTGTGTTGGGATCGGGCTCTGCTGCTGTGAACAGGCAGGGTGGGAGGTGGCAAGGGGGGGTCTGGTCCCAGCAGCAGCCAGTGCTGGATGCTGACCAGCCCCCCCCCATTTTCCCATGGGGGCTCCCCATGCAGCCAGCAAGGGCTGGGTGACATGGCTCATGCCAGCAGCCGGTTCCTGGTTCCTCTTGCACACCTGGAGAGAAGGAAAACACACAGTGCTTTAATCCTCAAGGGCATGGAGTAAAGGCACTGAGGAGAGAAGCCACCCCGACTGGGGGGGTCAGAGCCCAGGTGTCCTGTCTGCAGCCCCAGAGATGCCCAGTGCAGGTCCAGACCCCTCAGCTCTAGGCATCCAACAACTCAGGATTTCCTTCTACATGTCAAGGTTGTGGAGACCCTGGCTCACTTGGTGTGACACCACAGGGCACTGGAGACTCCACAGCTTCTCTGGGCAACTGTGGTGGTGTGTCTGTCCATGACAGCAACCTGGGCCAGGGTCTCACCACCCTCACAGCAAACAAGTTCTTCCCCAGATCTCATCTCAGTCTCCCCTCTTTCAGTGTCAAACCCTTCCCCCTCCTCCTATGGCTCCCCTCCCTCATCCAGAGGCCCTCCCCAGCTTGAGGGACTGGAAGGAGCTCAAAGGTCTCCCCGGAGCCTTCTCTTCTCCAGGGTAACGTCCCCCAGCTCTCTCTGCCTGTCCTCACAGGATTTTCCCCGCAGCCTGCTCCATTTTGACAGCGTGCTTTGGCCAAGAGTCCCTGCTCTGACCCCAGCACTGCCTTTCCTGACTCACATTCGGTGAAAACAAGAGTCAGGCACCCAGCAGACCCTGAGCACCCACAAACTCTGCTGCCTGACAGGGGGATGTGGGAGTTCAGCAGTTCTGAGACCACCTCTGCTTGACACTCTGCATTCAGGAGCTTCATTTTCACCAGGCAGGTTGAAGACGTTTAGCTTGTGTCAGTTCTATTTTACAATAGCTGATCTGGATTTATGTAGCATTATTGCACATTTTTAATTCTCTTTGGATTTAAAAACAGTCAAAGCGTCTCATTTTCCTCTGTGTATTGTTTTGCTCCTCCATATAAAATTCTATTGAAAATGTTGTGACATGTATCTACATATACAGTTCTAAATTTGCTTAAAGAAACAAAGTCTAAACCACATCTTGATGATGGAATAAATCTGTATCTTACATTTCCAGGCAAGCTGCAAAGCCCAACCAGTGTCATGAAAGGCAAATTCACTTAATGGCTTTAAAAGTCTCTGTTCTGAAGGTAACTGGGGAGGCTGCAGCTCGGGAAGGGGTTCCTCGCTCTGCGATGGTGGGAGCGGCGTTTCCTCTTGAGCCGGTGTCTCCGCAGGGCTCCCGTCCCCGCGCTGGGAATGTGCCCACCCCGAGCCAGTGGCCACACGGGCTGGTGACAGCGGGGACTGTCCCATCCCCGTGCTGGGCTGGGCATGGGCTCCTTTGGTGGCCACGGGCTGGCTGTGGGGGACCACCAGGCTGCCCCCCAGCCAGAGCTCCCTGCTCAGGGTCCCTGCTCGCCCGGGGAGCGGGGCTGGGAGGTGGGACCCTCTCCTGGTCCTGGAGCTGCGCCGGCCGCTGCTTCGTCCCTGGGCTGGGCTGGGTGGGCTTCTGGGCCTCCTGGCCCCCTGGCCCCAGCGCTGTGGGGGTTCCTCCCCCCGGAGTCCCACGTCTCTCAGGAGCAGGTGACAATCCTCACTCCAGCCATGGGGACCTGAAGCCAGGGCAGGAGCACAGCCCCGTGCCCCGGGGACCTCGGCACACATCGGTTCCTGCAGAAACTGCTTTTCTAAGGTACATTCTTTACCCCAAACTGGATGTGTCTCCCATGGAGGGGGAACCTCCTCCTTGCAAACCGGGAGAAGTGAACCCTCGGAGGGGTGAAGTCTGAAGAAAAGAAGGACTGGAAATTAGGATTTTTGCAGCTGAAAATCCCCTGTTTTCTCTGGGAAATAGTCACAGCTCCAGCTTGTTCACCCCTTGCCAGCAGCTGCCTCTGCCCAGCCCCCGGAGCCCCCCCAGGCACGTGTGAGCTGCTCCGGGCCCCGGTCTGCAGGAGCATCTGGGACACACACTCCTGCCA